GCTCCACTCAGCCGCCTCCTCCCACTCACTCAGGGGTTAACCCCCTCCCACCATGGGCCCCGCTTGCCTCCGGCTGTGCTGGGGGTCGGCGGGGGGCTCTGTAGCTGCTGGAGGGTCTTTGGGGGACTTTGGGGGAGTGGGGACGCAGTGGGCTTTCACCCGTGCATCTCTTGCCGCTCCGGAGCCTAACTGGGCTCAAGGTCTCTGACTGTTCTTTCAGAGGGGTCTTCAAGAGGAGGCTGGACAGATTTGGCTTGGGTGTTATGACCCCACACTCATTCCTGCTCAGGGCAGGGGGTCGGACCTGATGATCTGTTGAGGTCCCTTCTGACCCTAAGCACTATGAAACTATGAAAAAAAAAGCCTCCACACACATAATATTCAGCATGTTCCATCCTTCCTTCACTACCCACCTTATTTTATGGGACACCAGCCTACTCTCTCCACTGTCAATTATCTCCTGAAATAACTCTTCTCTCAGGACATCTCTCAGCATGCAGTCACCTTATGCACAAGGATGGAGCTGGAATACTAAGAGCTGGTGATAAATTTGTTTTGGCTCATCTGTGACCTTCTCACTTGCACTCATTCAAATCCATGGGGTCAGCTCCTAAAGCATAATCCAGAATAGTACCATTCCTCATAATGACATTACTTCAAATTTATATCAGTGTCAGTGATGCATTTGGCATTAAATAGTCACTGGGTAAATGCGAAATGCAGATACCAGAAACTTGGCCTCCCTTCCCATCAGCACATCCCTAAGCCAGAGAGTTCAACTCCTTCTTACTTGCCCTCCTGACCCCATGATTTTCCCTTCTGCCTTACTAGTGACCCAAAAGCAATGTGTGTGTGGGTAAGGAATGTAGGCTGCTCTCAGGCATGACTGCCCTATCCAGGGTTGCTTCAGTAGCCATTACAGGCAAGTAATAGATATTGGGATGTACTGGCAGGACGTGGCTAGCAGGGTATAGAAGTTCTTGTGCACTACAAAGCCCAGACTGAGAGCTCCCTGCAGGAGGCTGAGGTATGCTCCTGCTCAAACACAATGTCATGCTGCTCTGCTCTATCCACCAACACTTCCATCTAGCCTCATTTTGAAGAGGAATCTTCTGTCAAGCTCATGGTTTCTTAGTTTTACACACCACTCAATTTTTATGGGCTTTATGGAAAAGCATTTTTAGCCTCTTTTAATGGGCTAGAAGAATGGAGGGAATGTGTCTCTGAGCTTGAAGGGGCAGGGAGGGGAGAATTTCACTTGCTTTAGGGACTTAAAAAGTCTTCCTGTAGTGGTGGGGATGGAGGAGGCTGAGAGCAGGGGTGCAGCCACCTCTTCAGTGCAGATTACTGTTCCTGCACCCCCCTTTTGGAAATCCTAGATCCACCTCTGCATATCACCCCTGTGGTGGTCCAGTAGGGAGTGCTCCTGCATTAAACCACCCACCTCACTGTGCCTGACTGCCTTCCAGGCTCCGAGTGCTTCCCTGGGGCACCACAGGTCTGGCCAATCCCCTTCCTGGAGCACACCCACAAGCTTGGGGGTAATGCCACCACTATCCAGAGTGTGGACTAATCTGGGACCTACACCCTCTGTGAAATGCAGACCTAGTAGTCCTAAAGGGTACTTGACCCACTGCAAGAACTTGGGGTGCTTCCCTCAGTCTGAAACACAAATAATGGTTTCCCTTAGTCAGCCAAACCAAGGGGACCCCAAGGCAAAGTCTAGACCCTCTCCCAATAAGTCTCCCATGCTAGGTACAAAGGGAAACTTTATTGGATACAAGGAGTAAGTTTGGAATAGGGTACAGGGTAGAGCAATATCAGAGAAACACCTTAGAGCAAACAGTGGCATGGTAGCCTTTAATCATGCATCTGAGTTACTGCAAGCTATGTATCTAGTTAGATCTCAGGTAGCTTACTTATGAGTATCATCCAGAGGCAGGTGGAGATTCCTTCTGGAGGCAAACAGTTCATTGAGCATGAGTTTCAAGAGAGAGAGAGAGAGTCCAGCTTCTCTCTGTGAGTTTTCATCATGGCCAGCCCTCCTCCTGGGTAGTCCTTCACTTATATAGCCGTTATGACCTCATTTACCTGGTCCAATGAAGGCCAGCAACTTTTGGCTGCCAGCCTACCAATTTGAAACGCATCACTGGTTGCCAGGTAGACTGGCAGGGTCTTTAGCCCCCTCCCAGTCATGTTGGCATTGGTTAGAACAATAGGGAGTGTAAGCCCCCTACCCAGGTATGTGATGCCAGTCATGTAGGCAGAGGGAGCAGGTTTCCCTCTCCCTCAGGCATGTATCCAGCTCAGGTTACAACTCAGGGTTTCCTGAAGAGATGGGGCAGAGGAGTCTGTCCTTTGCAGTGACCCTGGTAACCAAACTGTCATCTAGCAGAGTTTGGGGAGAGACAGAGATCATATTCTGCCACAGCCCCCATATATTTATTTATTTATTCATGCTACACAAACCTTGGGATGAGTATAAACCAGTGTCCGATTGACTCCTTCCTTTCAGAAGACAGGGAAACAGAAGCCAGAATAGGATTTGCTTCAGTCACTATTTTATCATAGGTCTGCCCTGGGGGGTGGTAAAACTATCTTTTTTCTTTTACTCAAGACTGATTATTGACTGAAAACTTTGCCCTTTATACTACAATACAATTCAAATTGATCAGCATTTGTCACTTAGGAATCCACTGATACTTCAATTCTTGAAGACTCATCGGCTTCTGGCAGGATCCCAGCAACAACTATAATGCAGCTGTTTCACAGGGTGTCTGGCCTTTAGAGGAGAATCAGATTACTGTCTACCTGTAGCAGCTTTTTTTAGGCCTACCAGTAAATAACGAATCACCTAATTTCCCATTGGGCATCCAGTTTTGATAAAAACATTCCAAGCTGAATGATGCTACTCATAAAGAAAAGTGTCCCCAGTCACTAGGAGGTGATGAACTCTCAGAAAAGGAGCTTAGGAAGGGACTTCTCAGGTGGCTACAGGAGACCCAGCCTCCAAGGAACTGTGTCACACCTAAGGAAGTGCTGCAGAAAGGCTCTGATTCCAAGGAGAGCCATGATGGATTAAGGCCATGGACTGAAAGACTCAGCTAGATTTTGGCTCCCCGCTAAGAAACCTGGATGAACCTCCTCAGACAGATTCAGGGAGCCCTGCC